CCCCCCCCCCCCCCCCAATTCCCTACTATTCTCCGTGTTCCAAACATAGCCTTAAAGAATGTGTTATTACCATCAGCATAAATACAAACTCTTTAGGGAACTGATCCTCTAGTTGGGAAACATCCAGAAAATCGCTCTTGTTTTTTATAACAGATTGGTAGAAAACAGCAACCAAGAAAAACACAGAGAGATCAGCACCAAAGATGTAGGCATAAAGATCAATCTCTCTTTTTCCCCCTCCAATGACAGAGAGTATAGGGTATGGGAATCTAACATCTTCAACAAATCCCACCCGCTGTGCCTTAAGAATGTCCTTTGCCACATCAGCCGCGGGAGTGAGTGACTTGAATGGCTCGTCGGGTGTGCATTCTTCTGTAAGGGGGCAGGAGGAAACCACTTCAAAAACAGCCAAAGCCATGTTTGGATTCTCAGCACTTTTCTCAATGCTCTGGATCTGAACTCTACTGACACATGAGCAACGGTTGGGGTTTTCATTCCTGCATCTCTCATTATGCACAAGTAGCAGCAGTTGGTTTATTCCGGATTCAATCCTCTCCGGCTGGATCCCATACTCAGGCCAATCATTCACATCCATGGACAGCTGCACAAAGTATGGAGGAGATTCTGCATCCTGTATCAGTGACTTCCAGTATCTGCAGCAGCTTCTGGTCACTATTCTAATCATGTTTATCAATGGCTGAAGTAGCTTCTTCACCTTTTCACTCCAGCTGGATCCTGTGGGAGCTTCTTTCCGATCCACCAGCCTACCTTTACTGCTATTCCCATGCGCCAGTGAAAACCATTCGCCATCTTTTGCAGTTATGGAGCTCTGTATGAGAGTGAACAAATACACCAGAAACAAGGGAAGTGAATTGATGACAAATGACGATGTTATCCTTTTGGTAGGAAAGCCCAACTCGGGAAGAAGGCCTGACTGAATGCTGAAACCACAATGCTGAATGACGACTTGATAGAGATACCGAAGTAAAATGTAAAACTCTGTGTATATTAACATGACTATCCAGAAGATGTAGCTTGGGCCAGTATTGACACACAGTGCATATAGGAAGAGAGCAGCCAAGTAGACCATTGATAACAAGCTGAAATTCCAGAGAAACACAAGAAGAAAGCAACAGTAACAGACGAAATCGTTGTTGGAACGCATCTGAAACCATATATGGGAGAATATTCTGCCGATTTGTAGGCTTGCAGCTTCAGACGTTCTGCTCTTATCAGATTGTAGAGAAGATGCACGATTCAGGTATGCACTGCTCCTCATGTTTTGACCATCTTCGGCTGAAGAAGACTCATTGGAGTCAGAATCCTCTTGAGAGAGGTTCAAAAAGCTGAAAATATTGTTGACAGCCAGATTTCCTATTGATTGTACTTGAGAGACTCCATCTCCTATCAACTGCACAGCAGAAGCCAATGGATTCTCCTTCAATTGACCACTATGATCTCTCCTTTGCTTTCCCGCATCCGCAAAAGCATTATCACATTCTTCTTCTTCTTCTTCAAGTTCAGTTATCTCACACAGAGTTGATTCTATTATAGGGTTCTTTGCTAATTCTGAAGCAAACAGGCTCTCAGTATCGGGAGATTCAGGCAAATCACACACCAAATCTGAGTTCACGCGAGAAGTGTTTCTCCGTCTCCTCAAGCCTTCACTAACAGGGGAAGTATCAAGAGAATTCATGCTATGGAGTTGGATCTGCAGGTTCAGCATCTCAGACTTCATCTTCTCCACTTGCATGTTCCTCTGCCGCTTCTTCTCATCGGATTCACGAATGTGCTGCAACTGTGCCTTCTTCCATGCTGCTTTCCTCTCCTGCTCACATACAATGGCACCGATCTGTTCTGCCTCGAGATAACGGAACACGTAATCAAACTCAGAGGAGGAAAACATGTACGATTGCAAGGAAACCAGAACAAAGATGATGATCTCAACCAAAGCCGATCTTGACGTGATCCGAAACCCATAGTCATATTTATAAAACCCAATCACCTCATAAATGTAATCGATGGTTTCACATTTTCCGGCATTGAAGTCGCCAATGAATGGAGACTGGTAGGCAAGAGAGAGTACAATAACAGCAAAGTTGTAAATGCGTAGGTACTTGAATATCTTGTTTTTCAGCTTGAGTATTTTAAGTCTGATCCGGAAGAAGACTAGAGCGAAACCAAGGTATCCAAGGTGAAGAATGTCATATTCAAGGGTGCCCGTTATCAAAATCAATGCCAGCACAAGATCCAAAAGATGACAATAGCAGTAAAGCCGCAAGTAGTCAAGAAAAGTCCACATGCTTTTGGTTTCAAAGGAAAGATCTCTCCAAACAAAGGAATTCCTCTGCTGAGAAACCATCTGGCGGTATGTAAACAGCCCAGAAAAGCTGGAAGCACGGTCTGCGCGGAGTTTGAAACATGCAACCATAAAGACTGTGAAGTAGCTGATCAGGATTCGAGGGTCATCAACATTAAGCCCTACCAAACAAATTGCACATATAAAATTCAAGGATCATGATTGTTTATGAAGTCATCACATAGAAGGAAAAAGAGATACCTAGCCAACACTTTTTGCAAAAATCAAAATATCTGTCTGAGTTTCTCCAGCAGGCATGACAGTGGATGTGTGCATCGTCTGGTTGGGCTGAAGGCATTTGCTTCTTCCACATGGCAAAGTATTCGGCTACAAGAATCGAAGCAAACAACATAACAAAAAAGGGCCATATTTTACGTATGAGGTGCCGGTCTAATAGAACACAAGCAGCAAGTAATGCAATGTAAAGCATTGAAATAGCATTAAGCAGAGCAAAGCTGGCAAGAACCAACACAATCATATTGATCTCAAGCCCAAAAAGGTTAAACATATTCTCCACCCAAAACTTGAGATACACTTTTAAGGTTGTCTTCTGTATCTCAAACCTTTCCTTTCTCAAGGCAATAATCCTTTTCTTATTCCACTTATGACTTTCCTTCATGCTTCCCCAGAGATATCCAAATGAATACTTTCTGGTGCTGCTACTATTTTCCGAGAATCCACTTTTTTCAGAAGACCCATAATCAGATGATCTGTAAAGAGAATGACTGAAGTATGCACATGACTTGCTGCCATTCATGCCTTCTATCCTTTGCTTGGATAGCTCACCAGTGTGTGGGGATGGCAAAATATCACTTGCCGAGGCAAACAAGGGGCAAGGTTCCTCTAACCCACCATCAACACCTAAGAGAGAAGCAGGCATGTTTTCTAGCCAGTGGAAAACGTTGTATTGAAGATTACACACAGCAATGATGAAAATTTTGGACCTCAAACCTGCCTCAAGACCCCAAAAGTGCTCCTTGTACACTTGGAGGCCCAAGAAGAGGGACAAATTATAGTGCTTTTGTCCAGGAAACATCCCGGTCTCTTTACCCCACATCTGAAACAGATACTCGGTGGCCACTAGAATTCCTGTGTAAACTAGGAACATTTTGGACGGGATTCGTGAAGCTTTAGGTAGATTAGAACAGAGGACTATACCAAGAAGGTAAACAAACCCAAACGCACTTATTGGAGATAATGATGCATAAAACAGTGCAATGAGCAGAATCTTGTGACTGTGCCAAATGAGGAACCTCCTGACAACACCAAGTATACCAAATTGACCAGGACAGGTATTGTCTTCTGACTGAAAATATTTGCTTTGCCGCCTTTCATAACTGTAAAGTTGCATCACGATCACGATTGAAAGAGATTGCCAAACGTTTTCAAAAACTGAGCCATCAGGATTATATCCAAAGTTTACAAACAGATCAAGTTTTCTGCACATCCATGCTTCAAAACTGGGAAAGACACTCAACCCGTATATGAGAATGAACACTATGATTGCATACAGCTTTAATGGAAACCAAACACGACGTTTCGTCTTCTCGCCTAGCTGTCTTCCAATGATCCAGAAAAGCAGGAGGAAGATGTACCCGAATGATAGGTAATTGGGCCTGACCAGGTACACCGTGATAAGGATTGTGAGAAAAGCAATATATGTTCCAAATGATCTATATATAGATAGAACTTTCCTCCCTATAGCACTGAGGTAAAGCGCAATTCTCCTTTCTGCCAAAAAAACTACGTAAGTAATGATTTGACAACTAATATGTTTAAACCACTAATTTGGCAGGCAGTAAGAGTCTGGATGTAGGGTTTTGGAGGGGTTTGAATGAGAAGCTTAATTTGTATCTTCACAAAAATAGAACTGAGGTAAAGCGCAATTCTCCTTTCTGCCAAAAAAACTACGTAAGTAATGATTTGACAACTAATATGTTTAAACCACTAATTTGGCAGGCAGTAAGAGTCTGGATGTAGGGTTTTGGAGGGGTTTGAATGAGAAGCTTAATTTGTATCTTCACAAAAATAGAATGTCCCAATAAAGCGAATGAAATGTGATTGAAATGTTATTTGCTCACATATTACATTAATCTTATATTTATAATGAAATCTCATATACCCGTAGTATATAGAAAGCCCTCTAAGTCTTCCCTCGAGAACCCGCCATCCAATTAGATCCTAAGTGCTTTTGTGGCAGAAGAACAAGAACAACCAGAGACTGAGTCTTTGCTGGACTTTCTCATTCAACAATAAAAAGAAATAAGCCTTGGGAAAAGTTATACCGAGTGAAGGATCGTAATTAGAATCTCGGGTGGTGGAAGAAGCATAAACTGACAATAAAACTGATTTGTTCAAACCAGCTTTTAATATGCCAAAACCTAGAGGAGGACATGGAGTATGTTGGGCAATTGCAGAGAATGAGAACAGCATCTCAAAGCCATGATTATGAATGGCACAAAAACATGCCAGGAGAGCTACTTCAAGGAAATCCCAACAACTTTCGCTTTCAAGAAGACCTACAGTATTAGTAAATAAATTCATGAAACAGCAGAGAACACTATTATTATTTAAAATGATAGGAATAGAGAGGGAAATGTACCTAGCTGTGACAGAAGCTCCATACTCAATGATCCCTTTTGCTCTAGAGTTTTTGAGATCAGATTAAGCTGAAGAATGTATAAAAATACAAAATGAACCTCACATAAAAGGATTAAGGTCTGGCGTATCCTCATGCTGATGTCATGGCTCAAAAGGTACACAAAGAAGAACACAACTGAAACAAAAGAAATTCACATTTAGTCATACCTATAGATGGTACGATTCCCATAACCAAGTTAATTTCCGTACACTTATTGCACAACTATTATACAAATACTCCTTCCCAAAAATAAGACAATCTTGCTTTTTGTGTGGTTCTTAATGAAAAGAAGTGAAACACGGTACATTTTACCAAATTGTACATCAAGAGAGATTATTGTGTCAAATCATTTCAAAAGTGAGAGAGAGAGAGAGAGATACATTGAATAGGGAGAAACAACAAATTAATGGTGTTCATATTAGTAAAGTGGACATTAATTTGGAAGATGCATAACAGGAAAATATGACATATAAAGTAGGCCAGTGGGAGTACAATTAAACACTACTAATGATAAAAGGGAACTTTGAAACTTAAACAAGTAACAATACCGCCTACTTGGACATACTATAAACAGCATGGATGAAACCAGGTTTAGCTGCAATAAGGAATATTAAGACCAGCATGATAGCTCGAGAGCATTTGCGCAAACCCCAGGCGATTGTAGCCACAATCAATACTTTGGTCTCTCCATTCTCTGCAAGTTGAAATCTTTAAGAAAAATGGATAGAAGCAATGGCTTGTAATACATATCTTGTATAAAAGGAAACATGAGAATTTTTCTTATAAAGGGAGAATATTCACAAAGACGCTGATGAAAAAAATGTTGATAGAATTTTCCTTATATATAAATTATAGTATTAAATTAATGAATAGAACTTAGAGGGTATACTAATATATCATCTCAAATCTTTCATCACATAAAATTATCAAGTTAAAGAAATATTTACTTAAAATGGAAAACCCTTCCCTCCCTTCCCATCTCTCCAGAACCTAACTCTCAAACATAGCCTGCCTTACCAAACTCATCCCCTGCCCCCTCCTCAAAAATATGACAAGGAATGATGGAAGTTAAAAGATTACAGAACAAACATGGTGCATTATCAGTCAGTGAACTTAGTGCATACATATGTACCTTCCTCAATAGAGCTGTTGGTTGAAGGATACTGCTCCTCATCAGATAAGCACAGAAAGACAGAATTGTTAACCAGGTTACCCACAGCTACAAGAATTCCAAGACCAAACTGGGCAAGTAAGAAAAATCCAGGAATAGGATAATGCCACAGGCCAACCATCTCCCAAATCTCCATGTCCTAGACATACATTTGGAGATTTAAGTCATTAATTAGTTTGACATTCAGTGAATGATGCTGGAAAAATTTTGCCACAAATGTAATGGATACCTTCTCAAGATTCAAGTTCAAGAAAGCAAATGCCACATTGAAGATATATGTGCTCACAGCCCAGAAAAGAATGAAGACTAGTAGCAAACCATTTAATCGGTGCATTCGGAACAGTGAAGGGAAAACATATAAGATATAACCAACATACGCTAACAGTCCGAACGCACATATACTAGCAAAATGGAAGCTCCAAAATGAGAGTGCAAACAAGGAGACCTGTCAAGATAGCCATTAACAAATTTTAACATTAATCTCTGTGTGTGTGTGTGGAAAGATAGAAAGCATAAAGATGCAATGAGAGAGTTCAATCAACAAAGGCTTTTGAGTTCAAAGATGTACCGGGAAGCCATATGAGAAAAAGTTGATTGTGAAAATCTGAAAAACTATACTTCTCAACAAAACATTGGTATGCCTTACACCTGATCTGCAGCAGAAAATTCAGCATTTACACTTCAATAAATAAAAAGGAAAAAAAATGGATGCTAGGAAATAAAATTAGAGGATCTGCAAAGGTTACTTGGACTCCCGAATGAAAAAAGAATGCCTCGAGGGAAGAAGTTGTTCAGTCAAGGTTCCTTCTCTAGTGGTCATGGTCACAATGAGATGCATTTCCTCCAAATCACATTTAATATATGAAAGCTGCACATAAATACTCAAAAGCTAAGAATCTACACAACTAAGCTGAAAGAGCTTCATTGTGAAGGATTAGAAATGATGTTAACAATGATGCCGAAGAAAATACACGAACATAATTTCATAAGTAATTCCAGTTACTATATTTCAGCTCCAAATTTCTTAAAATGATGTGCCAATTTTACATTTATGGCGAATATAAAAACACGGTCTGTGTTAAGAACTCAAAAAAACTCATAAGATATAATAGTAAAGAAAGGATCCATGTCATTCATGTCGAAGGCTTAGCCATATTAACATGAAACCATTAACGCTCTTAACCACAAAGGCACAATATGCTAGTAAAAGATTTTTACACTATGTTTGGTTCAAGGAATTTAAAAGGGAAAAGAAAAGAAAATGAAGTGGAAAACCATTTTTCTTGTTTGGTTAGAGGGGAAAAGAAAGGAAAAGTGGAAGGAAAAGAAAATGAGGAGGCAAAATGTACCAAGTGGAGGGAAAATCAAATTCCTTCCATTTTGGTGAGGAAAATGAGAGAAAACCATTTTCTTTTCCTTCCAAAATCCTTGAGCCAAACATAGTGTTAATATAGAGAGAAAAGCATACCATATAGAAGAATATCAAAAGTGTGACCCCAGAACATATTTCTTGCCAGCTGGAATTTGCAGATATTTCATAGAGACCAAGGAAATTAGCAATAGTATGAAACATTTGTGGGTATGGAACTGGGAGCTGATACACATAAAGTAAACAAATAATAATGCCAGCATACAGCCAAAGAATCCTCCACCACCTTCAATGAAATGGCAGGCATATATCCAGTTAGATGAAAAAACATGTTTTTAAAGGCAATATTATAAGGAATAAAAATACTCGGTAATAATTACCTAAAAAGGCCTAAAAAGTTGCTCGTTAATGACCAATCAACCAGGGAAACACAACTGCATATAAAGAATGGCAAAGAAAGCCAAGAAGGATTGCTGATTCCCACAATTAATTGAATACCAGGAAGCAATAAACAAGAGGCCACCCTAAGACGAGAACCTATATGCTCAAAAGCTGATGAGAAACGCCCCCAACATGAATCACTTGATTGAAACAATCCATATCTGTCACTTCTGATTTCTAAGATAGTTGAAACCGCCACTAATATATGAACAGTCAAATAATAAATTACTAAGGGCAACCCATAAGACTGGACCCTGCAAAAGCATATAAACTTAAGAACTTAATTGTGTTCGTTCGGGGAGGACAGATGTATAATTGGGACCAGTTAGATGATATTGAACAAGCACAAGATCAAAAAATACTAGCAAAAGAGTGCTGAAATGAGAAATCAGAACTAACTTCATCAGTCCTATTAGTTTCGCCCACCAGGAATCTGCTACCCACCACTTGAAACCAATGATGGCCCATAAAGCAAGAAAAATTACTTCTGTAGCAATTACAAGAAGAGAAAATGCAAAGACAGACCACAACAGAATCCTTCCTCGAAAACGAAATCCTATGAACATTGAAAAAACAATGGCTTTAAAATGCAGGGGAAATATACAGTTTCAAATTCATAGCATATGTTTACACCAGAACAAGGAATCTTAAATCATGGGAGCAGCTAACCTCGTTTCGGAGCAGTAAATCGGATAATAAGTGAAGCCACCAAATCAATAAGAGATACCAAATTCCAATTCAGTAAAGCAGCTGTACACACATGATGAATCAATGGGTTTAGACTTAAAGACAAAGACACACTTACTCTCTACACAGCACAGTAAACACATGATGAATCAATGGGATTAAAAATTAAAAACACATGCACATATACAATCAAATCACTTGGGGAAAAATATCCTTTTGCAACACACACACACACACACAAGGGAACACCACATCACTCTGACACCACAACAAGATTTAGCTCAGCTCAAGGAAGACATTCTCCTCATATAGTCTGGGCTTAATTACACCACAGTCGGGATTTTGGACATCCAGAGCTTGAGATAATCCAACACAAGCTACATTCTTCAAAAAAATTTGAATTTGCAAAGGGAAAAGATAGGGGGCTGTATTGACTTATACAATTTTAACTCTAGAGCAGCTGCTTGAAGGTAGTTTCCTAAGTACCTTTTTTATTAAAATGAAAAAATTACTTCTGGGAAGCAGAGTAAATAGACACATATTCTAAATAAGGAAATACACTCTATGATACTCTGAATTATGTAAGGAAACTTCATCATCTCATATGAGCCTGCAGTTTAGGTAATCCTCTTCCGATACACTGTATTAAAAAGGCAATCTTTAAGTTCAGTCTTACCTGTTAAGAGCAGCGATGGCAACACAAACCCACCAACGAACGTCGCCATACCAATTCTTTTCTTCCTTCAATCCCTTCCCATTACATCTTAAGCCAAAAATGCTCCATAACTTAGCTCTCCGGGCAAAAGATTCCGACTTTTCCGTTAAAGATTTCTGATTTCATAACAAAGATGGGTGATCAAAGGGCATTGTTTTTCTTTGCAATCCAGTGACGGAGTGCGTCGTTGAGCCGCCGGGAAATTCCGGAGAAGAGAAGAGAGGACTTACCGTCGGCAGGAGCGTGATTCACAAAGGAGAGCAGACGAATTTGATCTGTGTGGTTTCACGAGGCATTTTTTTCTTTCTTTTTTTTAAAGAGAGGTTAATTCAGTAATTTCATACTTAAAGCACCCCATTGGGCATTGGCCCATTTCGTCCGACACATCTTTATTCTCTCGAATCATCCCGTCCCTCTCTTCTTCCAGATTCATCATCTGACGATCGTCGGAGACTCTGACGGAGAGATCGCGAAAATGAACCGGCGTTTAGTCGGAGTTTTATCGGCGGCGGTTTTTCTGCTCTCACTAACCTCCGAAGCCTCGCACTGCTCTATCAAAGGCGAGTCATCTTCTTCACCACACTCCCCCTAATGACCACATTCATCATCAGCTGTTGATTATAGGGTTTCTCTTAGAAATTCTGTTTTTTTTTCATTTACTTTAGATTTCATTGATAAATATATAGCGGCTGAGCTTTTTCTTCTGTGAAGCAGGTTTGCCGCTAATTAGGAATATCAGTGAGCTTCCACAAGATAGCTATGGAAGACCTGGTTTTTCTCACATCACACTGGCAGGTTCAGTACTGCATGGCATGAAAGAGGTTCAATTTCCAATTTAACACCCAAGTTAAAGAAGAGTATATATATTGTGTATTTTCCGGAATGCAGAATTTTCCATCTGCATTCTTGTTTTGTTGGTAGAAATGGAATTGATTCTTTGTTTATAAATTATTTGATCTTTCGCTATATTTTGAAAACAAACTGAGTCTAGCTGTAAGTGCCTAATCGGGGATTAATTGGGGTTTGATGGATTAGTTCAAATCAAATATTAAGATATTCTAACCGGACTCGATTATTGCTGAGCTTATTAGTATTTGAGCAATCATATTCAAATTTGAATCACAAATACCTTTTCTGGGATTTTCAATGCAATGACAATGATTTTTTGATATTTTCTTGCCACTTACCCATTAAAAAGGTGATTTTTTCCCCATTATCACCAAGCAGTTTACCTCTACCACAGTGATTATATCACTCTATTTTGACAGGTAGAAGTATGGCTCCAAACATTTTCGCCTGGTTCAAGAACACCAATCCACAGACACTCTTGCGAGGAAGTATTTGTCGTACTAAAGGGGACTGGAATGCTCTATCTTGCATCCAATTCACATCCAAAGTACCCCAGGGAGCCACTTGAAACACCCATCTTCACAAATAGCACTTTTCATGTTCCTACCAATGATGCTCACCAGGTAAAATATATTGTTCATTGGTTCACCTTAAGTTCATTGAATGGGAATATACAGTTTCCCTTTTCACCCGTCCCAATATAAACCCACATTTCTTCTTAAGAAATGGAATTTGTGGCTCACATTATTGATATCACTACACACTTTTCTTAAACTATTTTAAGAAATTCAACAGAGTTAAGCTTCGTCTTTGTCACATACTTATATCGTCTTTGTCACTTCTGGTGCTATAAAATGTATGGTTTTGCTGTCCTGTTTCAGGTTTGGAACACTGGTGAATCCGAGGATTTACAGGTATTGGTTGTTATATCTCGCCCGCCAGTGAAAGTGTAAGCATTTCTTTCATTGTTTTGGCCACCTTGAGATATGAATTAAAACACTTTCTTTTATCATACCGAGGTAAAGCATGGAAAATGCCTAGGAATGAAATTTAGGTGAAAATAGGAATCTGGTTCAAGCTCAATAAATCTCAATAAATCAAGTATATTTAAAACTTTAAAAATGCCATAATCAAATTTGACTTTTCCTTGTTTTAGAATGTTAAAAAAACATAAATATTCTCCTTGGCTTTCCTTAGTATCCATCACTTTTCTTAGCATTCCTTGGTTGATACAATTTGCTTTCAGATTCATCTACGACGACTGGCTCATGCCACACACAGCTGCAAGATTGAAGTACCCTTATTATTGGGATGAGTGCCATCAAGCCACACATGTAAAAGATGAGCTTTGACTTTTCTTTTTCAATTAAATGCGCTGATAGAAGTCGATATACTGAGTATAAATAGTAAAAACATGCAGATCTTAGCATTTTCGATCTATAATTTCATCAATTAGTGAAATACTACTCGGTACTAGGTTTGTTTCGTTTGGTAATCTACAAAAGCATCATTAGAAAGTAATGGATTTGGGAGGGTGAAATTTGTCAATATACTAACACTTGCTGTTTGTTTTGCCAATCCTATTCCCCTATTTGACTTGAAGAAAGAGGTGTTTAAAGTCTAAGGACATGTTTTCATATAGAGCATTGTTTATGGCTTATTTTAATTAGCTTTTCTAATTCTAGTGTTTGGTAATGGAAAAACTTGGTCAAATAAACACTCTTTGGAGCCACTTAATACTCATAAGACAAAAGCATTGTACATAAATTTTTGCTCAAATTGGCAAAAATCAATTATTCGTAAATTACCACTTTTGTTTTTTTTAAAAAAAAACCAAATAGTTTGTCCTAAAAAGGTAAAAAAATAAGGAAAAGGTAATTTTTTTTGTAACCACTCCCATGGTTTTTACTATACAAGAGAATGAAAATCGTTATTAGCCATAAATTGGATGGTGTTAAAGAATGTCCATAAAATCACTGGTAAATATATATGTTGGCATCAATGGAATGCAATAATTAAAATGATGGGATCTGAGGTTTTTTCTCACAATGATTACCAGCCTCTCTCTCTCCTCCTCCCCCCATTCATTTCTAACCTCTCCTAAAACCTTCTCTTAATCTGCAGCCTCCTCCAATGGCTACCTCCCCTCCTCCATTGTAAAAAGCTAAAAATAACAGGGCAGGATGGCCTTCTGGAACTCCTCTTCTTTTGTTCCACTCCTTATTGGCCTCCTGTCTCTCTTCCTCATCACCTCCCAACCTCTCCCCGCCGCCGATGCCGCCAATATCCGCCTTGCCATCCGCAAGCCCGCGGCCCCCAACAGCCTCCCCCTTTTCAACGAGGCCCCGGCCTTCCGCAACGGCGAGGCGTGCGGGTCCGGTGACCTCATCCATGTCGTCATGACCCTCGACACCAACTACATTAGAGGCACCATGGCCGCCGTGCTCTCCATCCTCCAGCACTCGACCTGCCCGGAGAACGTGGTGTTCCACTTCCTCTGGCTCAGGCACGAGCCCGAGGTGTTCTCGAGCATTCGGTCCACGTTCCCGTACCTCAACTTCAAGGTTTATCGCTTCGACGCGAGTAGGGTCCGCGGATTGATCTCCAAGTCCATTCGACAGGCGCTGGACCAGCCGCTGAACTACGCCAGGGCGTACCTGGCGGAAATTCTCCCGGCCGAGGTCAGGCGGGTGATTTACCTCGACTCTGACCTCGTGCTCGTGGACGACATCATGAAGTTGTGGAAGGTGGAGTTGGGCGGCAGAGTCCTGGCGGCCCCGGAGTACTGCCACGCCAACTTCACCGCCTACTTCACAGACGCGTTCTGGGCGGACCCGGAGCTGACCAAGACGTTCGAAGGGCGGAAGCCGTGCTATTTCAACACGGGGGTGATGGTGATGGACGTCGAGCAATGGAGGCGCGGAGGGTACACGAAGAAGGTGGAAGATTGGATGATGGTGCAGAAGCAGAAAATGAGGATCTACCACTTGGGGTCGTTGCCGCCGTTCCTGCTCGTGCTGGCGGGGAAGATAACGCCGGTGGACCACAGGTGGAACCAGCACGGGTTGGGCGGCGACAACCTCGAAGGGAAATGCAGGAGCCTGCACCCTGGCCCCATCAGCCTGCTCCATTGGAGTGGCAAGGGGAAGCCATGGCTGAGGTTGGATTCGAGAAAGCCTTGCATTGTTGACCATTTGTGGGCTCCTTATGATCTTTACCACACATCCAAAAATACTTTCGTCGAATGATTCTTTTTACTTTGTTTGTTTGTTTGTTTTCCATCTTGTTGAAACTTATTAGGGAAGAAGATAGGTGTGTTCAAACTAGGAGACAATTCAAAAAGAATTTTTTTTTTCAAAGGAAAGAAAATGTCCAAAAACCCAGATGCATGCATGCCCCAAATGCCCCCTCTTCTTCACCGTCCTTAATTTATTTCTTGACTTCATCATTCCCATCAAATGTTTATCCTTAACCATTGTAGTAATTAACTTCAACTCGATTACAATTAAGCATGCTTCAATCCAAGGAATCAATCAATGAAAGATATAATCCGTATTAAAGCTCTTTGTTATTAGAAGCCGTATATATGTTTATATGATTTTGGATGAATTAGTTAATTGCAGTAATTGTTTAAATTCTGTTATTAGTTCTTATGTATGTTATATGTATTTTTTGGATTTGGGGGGAGGGGGGATCACTTGTTCTGGAAAAACGCTTTGAAACGATACATTGAGATTAAAACGATTGAAACTTTGTAAACAGAGAATAAAAACTCAACTACTAACAGTTTAATGGCACACACTGTAACAACTTTGAAAGGGCAGAGGCTTTGTGTAAGAAGTATAATCAGCACGCATTTGTAGCTTCGTCATGGCTCATTCCCAGAAGCGAGGTCGTCGTCGGCGCTTGGCTCGGAGGCGGGGTCCGTCTCCGGTTCAACCTGGGAAGTCGGGAGTGCCAGGTGGAATCGCCGTTTTAGAGCGCGGGGTGGGAGATGCTTGACGTGTCTCCTGGCGGTTCGGACAGCTGTCCATGGCAGGAACACCCCGGTGCCGCCACCGCCACAGCCCGGAAGCTTCCGACCGGGACTGAGAAGTAGCGGGTGGACGACGGGGGCCAACATGACGACGGGAGGGCGGATGAGAGTCTTAGGGATTATTAGATCCATTGTTGATGTTGTTGTGTCATAGTTTAGGTTTGGGGATGTGTAGGAAGGAGGAAGAGGAGCTGCTGGTTGCCACAAGGTCATGGCTTTTGTCAATGGGGGAAGGGGAACCACTTGTTCATTAGATGATGATGAAGATGATGATGACCTGTAATGGCTGTCCACGTCACTGCCACATGTCCTGATTTTGAAGAACGTGATGCTCACCCTCTTGTTCGACGAGGAACACATGGCGTGTCTTGCCATGTCAGCACTGTTTCCCCTCATTATCAGGAGAGATCTGCGGCGAAAACAACCCCAAACCCGTCAAGCCTTCATGTGATCCTTATTAAGTATGCCAAAAAGCAATGAAGTTATTATGTAGGCATCATATGATATACTATATACATACCCTTCCTTAAGGGGAAGTACCAGTGATGCTCTGTAGTTGCCATCACTGTCACCAACAAGACTTCGACCAAATGCCATTGTCGACTCGGAGAGGAGAAGCGTCGAGATGGGCTGTTCCAGGTGAGGTGGTTTCAGAAAAGGTTGTGAATATTCCCCCTGGATAAGCACATACGTGTTTATTAATTAAACTCCGGTTAGGACATGATGAAGAATGTCTCATATACATATAAGCAGAGTATATTTCTGTAATACCTACCTCATCAAAGAAGTTGATGATGCATCCATTTGGTCTCCTGTTTTCTGATATTAAATGCCACTGGATGAGGTGATCAATCACAAGTTCGAGAAGAGCGGGAATTGGTTCATTGCTGCCTACAAGGTAGAATTTTATTCCGGTTAAAGTTAAGCAGGATTTAGGCAGATCGACACACATAGAAGAAACTGATGAATAAATGTTTTAAATGAGAAGTCTGTTATATAATAAGTTAATCCGGGGCTCTAAAAATATATCCTCACTTTTTGGAGATGCAAGATCTTCTTTCACGTGCCCGAAAATAGGAGTGCCAAGTTGAACCAGCTCCCTTTTGTTACCCTTCAGCTGCTGGTTGTACAAAATGAAAGTTTCCCCTGAAATTTAGTGGCAAAAGTCAAAGCTTTGGTATAGTTTATCATTTACCATCTGCAGATGCAATATTTACTGCACAAAATTAGCCAAACCTTTCACATTTATCCAAATACTTTGTGGATGAAAAAAAGGTTACAATATTTAAGAGAAAACGGTGACGAATCACGGGGATCCACCTGAGAGTTCTCCATTTCGGCCAGCGACTCTGAGTTGATTCACAAAATCACTCAACTTTGAAAGTTCAATTGGAGAGAATATGTCTTCGTACAACTTCAGGCCTCTAACAACGTTCACCTACAGTCCAAGCAGAGAGGTGTTATATGCTTCGTTATAGGCAAAAGCGAGCAAGCAAGCTAGCTTCACAGATATCTTGCATCGGTTTGAGTCAAGTAAAAAAGAATTCACCATATGCCCTTTCACTGGCTCCCTACCCATGAACCCTTTGGTCATCTTGAACAGAGAACGGCGTTCTTCGCAGTTTTCATGGCGAGAACAGAACTCAATGTCTTCATGGACAGGCTGCACATCTTGGGATCCTGAACTTGCAATAGAAATAAAAAAAGAACAATGAGTTCGTTATTTTGTAGAGGCCAAATGGGTAAGTCAAAACATACGTCTTCTATTTGTTAAGTTAATTCCTCTGCTTCAGCCTATTATGACTATTTAAACGGGACCTTATCCATGAGACCATGACCACAACTGACCAAATAATAATAAGCAACAATAAGTACTAGATCTCCATCTATGACTCACAATGTATCTCATACAACATACTCTCTTTGATGGACACATGAATTACGAATATAAAAACTGTTTGCGCTTATTTAGAAAGTGAGAAATAATTTGACGACTCACATGCATATTGTTTTACTAGAAATTTAAAAATATGGGAATATTATTTAGGGATAGATATAAAAAATTACTCCGTATATTAGTTCTCCCTATTCCACAAAATTAATTTCCCTCTATTTTAGTTTTCCATTTTCGTAAAAATAAATATATGATCCAAATATTCATGGCTCTTCTAAACAAATTCTAACTACTCATTCACACTGTTCAATATCTCTTTTCAATATTTTTCTTAAAATCTCCATAAGAAGTCAAAGTGAGAAATTATTTTTGGGACGACGTAATTAGTATATAAATAATTGTACTTCCACAAGGGAATTAGAGAAAAACGAAAATAAGAAAGCTACTGTACTAGTTTTGTCCATATGCATTTCTAATGGGGGTGGCAGTACGGCTAGCTGACTGTATGGAATAAGACAGCGTTAATAAGGACATGGCCTAATATATTTTGAAATCTTCAAATTTGTTGTTTAGAGATGCTTTCGGCCTGCTTGCTGCCAAGAATAAATTTTACTCCGTAATTTGGACGTCCGTTGAACATATGCATATATATATTGAAAGGCAAATGGCAAAAGAAAGAAAACATCTCAGGGCGGACAAAACAAGCTATAGCTCTAGAGCTACACAGGTAGGTGGAGGGCATGCATTTCGTGTCGGTGGTGCCATGTGCCCTCAACGTTCCCGATAATCATGGCACAGTAGTTGCGCATTTGTGCAAAAAGATTCTTCAAAGAAAATGATTGTGGCTCTGAAGCGTATGATGAAAAGAAGGGAGACAATCTCCACCATGTTGGGTTAGTTGGTTTCACGGCCTAAATTAATCCGCCATATCATCCTCCCTCATCCCAAATTATTCTTCTTGTTTATTTTTTAATGTAATTTAAAGAAATAAATTTATTTGATTGATGTGAATTTTATTTTGGAACAACTTGAAAACGAAGACGAGAAAATTAATTTGAGACGAAGAGAGTAACCGATTAACTTTTACTTTCTTCATCCTCTAAAATGAAGTCTTGTAAAACTCTTATTTATACTTAATCAAATTACATAATTTTGATACTACTTACGTCCCATAAAATTCTTGACACTCTTAATTCGCGGAAATTAACTAAGAAAGTTGTTGAAAATTAAAAAAAAATGTATAGTTGGAATTTATATAGAGGAGAGAGAATTCTTGATAGAAAATAAAGTGTAAGATATTTTTGAAAAATTAAAAAAAAAGTGTAGAAAATTAAAATGAATATATTCTAACACTATTTTTAAAAATGAATTCAATAACATTAAAGTTTAATTAAAGTTGATAGATATTAATATAAACTTTGACTAAAATAATCAAAATGTGAAACTATTTTATACTCATTACATTCCAAAAAGACCGTCACACACTCACACTTAGTATTTTGGGCTTTCAATAACTTGTGTTTATTTGCGTATTTTTGTTGATATAATAAATACGAACAAAATAATCTTTATATCTCTTATTTTATAAAAAAAAATTTTAATATGTAATTTATATTTTATATCTATATACTAATTTCTGAATAAAATAATTTTTAAAAAAAGTACAAAGTATAATTTTATACATTGTTCAAATGTGACCATAAATTTGGTGGGAGGAATAATTGTTTGAAGTTTGAACTAATCCGTAGACACTATAAATTCATTCAAGCCACATCATTATTTACATTTTTACGGGGGTATCTTTTTTTGCCGTAGACACTAATTTTTACGGGGGTATCTTTTTTTGCCAAGCCACATCATTATTTACATTTTACGCATTGGAGTTGTTTACGAATTGCGACCCGCCTAATAATAAAAACATATACTCCCTAAATAAAAATGGCTCAAAATTTATCCCCTAAATTTTCTTTTCACATAAAAATGACCCAAAGATTAATGGCAAAAAAAAAATACGAATAATTGAACAGTGTCTCCGTTTTTTATTTTTATTTTTTGAAAATAATGCAAGCGGTGAGCCGGTGATGGAGTTGACCAGTAGCCTGGGGTCGCCAGGAAAGAGCAGACACAATATAACCGTCACGGCGTACGTCAATAACATGATAGATACTCGTAAACCAAAGGCCGCCGTATACTATTATTGTGATTGATTGCCTTTTGTTTTTGTTTTTCTTTTTTTTCTTTTGGGGGGGGGGNCTGGACACAGTTATGGGTAACAATAGCCCCCCGGTGCTGGCACTGGCGGTTTCGAAATCGGACCGGAACAGGAAACGGAACCGGTGAACATGTGTCCAGTTCCGGGGTTGATTAGGGCGTACCGTAACCGGCAATTCCAGTTTGGTGCCGGCTCCGATTTGTTTTTCTTTGACCGTTCTTTTCATCTTGACGGCTTTTTTGAACCGTCAGGATAATAAATGTACTTGTAATATTTTTAACATTCTTCATTTAAATAATAATAACTACATTATTAGAATTTATAAAAAATTATAAGTTATTTTACATCACATATTATTCATATATTAAAATATTAGATTTATATATTAAAATATTAGATTTAAAAAAAATAATCCTGAACCGGCTTGGAATC